AGGTGTAACTAGCGGAAATTCTAGCAATTATTATAGTTATTAATATCTAAAATTAACTACTACTAAGACTATTATTAATACCACGAGATGCTGAACATCTATTCAATCAAACCTAAATGTTGAGCGATTTTCACCTCTCTTTTTGCATTGGGCTCGATTGAACGGGTGAACAATGGTTACTATTCGTTAATAATGATAATACCACATCTCAACGTTAATATTAAGTTATGATAAAATCTTGTAACTTTTTGATGTTAAAGAGATAGGAAGGGCATGAGTAAGTGAATCACCTTCCCTTCTCTTGACGCACAGAGGAGAACAAGCCAGATGTGGGATGTGCCAATTTCTGAGTGGCTAAACTAGAGCAGTTCTAGACAATTAGATTTTCGGCTATTATCATTTCTGCAAGATTTTCCCCCGGCAAGCTCTCCTGCGTTGTTATCGAAACAGTGCGTCACCGAGGTCCGCTACTCCTTATAAAAAGGGCCTGAAGGCACAGGAAAAATCAGAGTTTAATTTCACCCTCGAACGGTTGACTAGGCAGCTAGAGATCGCCTCTGCCATCTCACTGTCCTCCACGAGTGCGGTTTCAAAGCTTCGATCGGGGATACCTCACGCTGGTTCATTCCGCTGTACGTTGTATATCAAAAAATAAAAGTAAGTCGAATTCTAATACAAAGTGACAAGTTCTTTTTTTTTCTCTCGGAGCCAAACGCGGACGTGTTTTTGTTAGAGTTTGAAATTTGGTATCGGTAAATACCACGTTACGAGATTAAATAGACAAATAAGTCCTCACGTAAAGTCTAGGACAATCGCATTTACCCCGGATGGTACTTGTGGATACTAAACCAGTCGCGAACTTAAACCATTTTCCCCCTTTACGTAACCTCTAGAGCGTAACTACCTTTGCTCGTTACGGTACTTGTAACCTCTAGATCGCGAACGGGATACGGTACGACACATCACACCAAGTATCCTCGATAAATCTGAGGCGCGCAGCGAACAAATACATCGCATTATTGCTCGACAATCGCGTCGATTTAATCAAAACGGTCGCCCTCACCCCCTTTCAAATACTCAGACAAGAAAAATAACTACCTTTTAGCCCCGCGTTCCACCTACGCGTCCAGTGCGAGTCCCGAGCTATTAAGCGAAAGCTTAGGCTCGAATGGTACGTTGCGCCGACGTAAGACAAGGTATGCATTACAAAATAATTATATATTGTACATATATAATGAAGAAAGTTATCTACCTTTATTGGGGGGTGCAAATGTAAATATTTCTCATACGCGATTAGCACATTCTAGTTTACTATGAACCAAAATTTTGTAAAAATCTGACTGTTAAGTAAGTTCATTAAAATTTTAAAGTTGAACAGCCCGTTTCGTCAATTTTTATAAGAACTGGTGCAAAGTTGACAAAATTATTTTCCTCAATTTCTCAGTTTAAGGGAGTATCCTCCTTATGTAAAATAACGTCAAAGTTTTTATGATATTTGAAATGTAGGTAAATAATAGCAAGACAAATCTTCAGTTAAAATTTCAAGACTGTTCATAGCATTGGAGGCAAGTTACTAATAAAAATATATCTTTCATTTTAACATGACATCTAATGGGTGCACGCGTTTTTTGCCTCTTCATTTATTGACATCTCAATAAATAACGTCAAGATTAAGGTCACATTGTTTTCTGAGACGAATATATATATATATATATAAGGATCACATTATTGTTCTTTAAATAACCATTTAGTGGATGTAAAATTACTTATAAATGAAAAAACAAGTAAAAAGCTAGGTTAAAACTCACATGTACATGTATACAACGACTTGAAAACTATGCCAGTACTATAGTTTTCTACAGTGAATCTAGTCAATAGAGGGGATACTCCCTTAAGGGACCCAGGCTTCATTCTGTACTTCCGTATACGCAATCACGTTTAAGATTTACTGTATGCTGGAATTGGATGAAAATATATTAAACATCTACCGCATATGCCCCGTGTAGGTTGGATAACCATCAACTTCGAATTTTATTGCGTGCATCGACCTGTGGTCATTAAAAATATTTGTTAAAAACTAACTACTAATTCTATTAGGTATTCGACCTACTAAAGAGAAAATGAAATAAGTTAGTACAAATCGATAAAAAAAAATAAAATCCAAATTTAATATTGAGCAGAAAATTTAATAACTGCTATTACTTATCATTATTGGGGTTTTTTTTTCTTCTTTTTTTTTTTTTTGACGCAAGATGCGTAAAGGTGGGCAGTTATGTTAAGTTCTTATAAAAAAATCCTGTACCACAAAGCCGACGGCGATCACAAGTAGCCCATAACTTTGTTCTCTTTGTCGATGGTAAAAAGGTAGAATCTTGTGTGTGCTACGAATGTAGTAGTAGTCAACCTTCTAGTTTTTTTGTATGTCTCATAGCCGCGTGTACATGTGTTACGCACGAGCGTTGCCTCCCACCCCGACAACGTGAGCGCTTTTCCCTTTTTCTCTGCGGCTTTGTCTCGCACTCACCCTCTCTTTTTTTTATCTCTCTTTCA